TATACCGGGTAGGAGGAAACGGCCGCCCACGTGTTGTTGGCTTGTATGGAGGTCGCTGCAAACAGGGCTAAACATCTCGACACGCTGGGATCACTTCCCGAAGTTGCTCGCAATTCCAAAGGATTGTTGAACTTTTTCGAGGTGATTTCATGGCTCGAATAAACCAGACCAGGGTAGGACCACGCTCTCACAGAATACCAGCGTAAAATAGCAGCTTAATGCTGCATTATTTCGTATGCTGAGCGTAGAGGACCGGATACCCTTTTTACTGGAAACGATGCATTCCATCTCTCAGGGGTGACAGCGCATTGTTGATTCCTACTTAAAGATGTGAGAATGTGTAGATGTCTATGGGCCGCAGCATCCACTTACCATTAGGTGGACTGTATGCTCGTTTGTCACCCCATTCCTACACAAAAAACGTCATGGGTTTGAATTTCATTCATCCACTATTGGAACACGATCCCAGCGCTAGCGTTTTTAGTTTATTTGAAAGCTCTGTGAACTTGGAACCCGAACTAAAAAAAGTAAAAATAAAATAATTGATACATATTCTACAAACAACGCAGATGATTGTAATACCGTTTATTCGTTTGTAGTCCTGAAAAATCTTCTGATAATCACTAAAGGTTGTAAATTTTAATGAAATATGATAATTTTTGAAAAATCTTGATTACCAATGCGTTAAGAATAGTTTGTAGATGATTGTAATACTAAAAATATTTTTATTACCGTACCTGAATCTTGAAAGATTTTTCAGGACTACAGACGAATGAAGGTTATTACAATCACCTGCGTTGTTTGTAGAATATGTATCAATTTTTATTATCTTTACAATTTATTTCCAATTTCTGATTCTTTTTAGAATAAAAAATATACAATAAAAATCTTATAGTTTTACAATCATCTACAAACGATTCTTAACGTATTGGTAATCAAGATTTTTCGAAAATTATTTTATTTCATGAAAAATTACAACTTTTAGTAATTATCAGAATATTTTTCAGGACTAGGTACAAACGAATTAACGGTATTACAATCATCTGCGTTGTTTGTAGAACCGACGGCTCCGTGGCGCAGTGGCTTAGCAATGAGTTGCTGCGCTGGCGGCCGCGGGTTCGAATCGTTCGTATTTGTATGGCCTGCAAATAACTTTTCCGTGTCTGGATGTTTGTCCTTGTGCAATTTATGTTTGTAAACTGCCTCCACGATACAGAAGAAAATCCTAGTGTGGGGGGTTATGTTTTTTTTTAAAAACTAGAGAATATGTATCAATTATTTTAATTTTTTTTTTAGTTCGGGTTCCAAGTTCACAGAGCTTTAGATAAAGTGCTCAGCCACTAATCGTGATAAAACGTCGCTAGTACTGCCAAACCTCTTAGACACAACAAACTTTTAAGTCTCCCGTTTGCATCTACAAATTATAGGCAAAACACTACACTATAGGTTTAACACTAGCGCTGCGTCAGCCAAGCGCATACTTAACAATGCATTTTTTGGTAGCTCTAAGTACGTAAGTACTACAATTTATTCTGTGCTCTAAGTGAGATATTGATGCGTTTGTTACAAAATTAACGATTTACTTCTTTTGTATTTGTGTTTATATTTTTCTTTTATATGTATAATATAATATGTTATATCAGTTAAGCCCTTATTTTACATAAGTGTGTTAGTATTGGATACTCTTGGGTGTTGAATCGTGTTTATCACTGTTGTACATTCACCTTTGTATCTGTTAGTGAGGACCTTTAATTGGCTTACTGTAGTTATTAGTATTATCTATCCTAATTATGATAGCTGTTGGTCTTCCGAATAAAAAAAAAAGTAGGACTTCTTTTTAAGTAAATTCAAATATTAGTTTAAGAATAGTTCTACGTTCTAGGCATCCACTTTTGTCTAAAAATCTGTCTATACCATCTATGTTATTACGACCCATGTTACTTATCTCTGCTACCAAAGAGCTGTGCATTAACTGCTGTATTTTTGTTTGAAACCGTTATTGTGACAGCCTATTAAAGTCCACTACTGAACATAGGAATTGCCCAAGGAATGCCATAAAGCACGGTTTTGATCCACCTGCATTCATCGGCCTCCTGCATGTCTTACGAGGTCGTCACTCCATCTAGTCTGGGACTGCCCTACACTTCGCCTACTGGTAGATTGCCTCATAGGGAGATATTTGCCATGGTTGCTACGTTGTCTGTTTCAAACGTTAGATAGACTCTAATCTCAGGCTGTCAGACATAACATCTTGGCGTCAGAGACAACGCGTTTTTGTCGTCCTTGCTTGAAGTCAGTTGTAGATGTCAATGTGCAGCGGTTACAACTTAGATGGACTTTAGTTCTTTGCTAATAAGTGGTAACCGCTTAGTAAAAGAAGTTCTGAGCGAGGCGCATACCCATTTGTATGTATACACTATAGCCGACTTCGAAAAGACAAGGTCTACAATGCGACTGTATGTTTGTGTATGTATGCTACGCGATGTCTTCGTCAATAGTAAGACGATTATGATGATTCGTCTTTTTTTTTATTAAATAGGTTATATTCTTCACGGGTGGTCTTATATAAATTCGACGATGGAAAAATTCCACCCCCGCAAAACAGGGGTTAAAGTTTTTATTGTAACTATTTTGACTACATTGAGAGACGAGACCTGCAGACGATGTGTAGGACGCGCCCCAACTAGATGGAGTGACGATTAGACATGCAGGAAGTCGATGGATGCAGTTGGCTTAGGACCGTGCTTTGTGGCATTACTTGGGTGAGGCCTATGTTCACCAGTGGACTTGTGAAGGGCTGTAATGATGATGATGATGAGAGACGAGATTAAAACTCCTTAGGGGTAAAAAGTTTAACTGTAGGTACATCAAAAGAAAAAGCCGACTTCAAAATAACGATATTTTCAGATCGAAACGACTTAAGGACGCCAACTTTTGGAATTCATGATAAGATTGACTGACAGAGAATGCTTTTAGCATTAACTCCGCTTTTTGATCCTGTACTTGATATGTAAGATTCAACAAAGTTTAAATAAATAATATCTTTCTATAATTTACTATAGTAGTCTCTTTTTATAGTAAATTATAGAAAGGAAAAGCAGGTGTGTTGCCGGCCTTTTAAAAAGGAGCCGTTTCTTGAAGGTCCCTAAGGCGTATCGGTCCGGAAAAATCGCTTGTGGTAAAAACATTCACAAAATAGTGGTGCGAGGAAGAAAACTCCTAATAAATTGCACAGTAGTGGACCGTCAAGCATCCAACGTGAGTATTGTCGCGATGTGCGCTGATGAAATTTGGCGTTTAGAATTAATAAGAACAATTCCTCCGAGAACTCCTCGTGGTAAATGCGATAGAAAAGGCATATCTTTCCCACTATGGTAGATGTCCATACCCAGCAGGTATTCCATGAGCTGTTGAAGAAGAAAATGACTGACTCGTTTAGTGAGACAAGTTAGCAGATCAAAAATGTTGTGAGGACACAAAAACAAAAGGGTAAATATTTAATAGAATATTTATTTTATAAAATCCACCTGAACTAAACAGTCTTTTCTTAACCTTAATATAAATACCCGTAAAGCATAAACATTATAAAATATATTAAAATATTCAATTCATATATCCACCACACAATATAAGTTATGTTTATAGTTAGTTAAGTTTTAATAATTTAATCAAGCTACACAAGTCATGGTTGTAACCACATGAACAAAACGTTAGTTAATATTAAACCTTTATAATAACCTAATTTTATATCGCTATTTTAGTAATATGTTAAAAATGCAGTATTTATCTTATAAAGCATCTGTAATCATCAATTAATGTTTCCTGTTCTTTACCCTGTACATCCCAAACTCTTGGATATTTGTACAAAATATATTATTATTTACCTACTTACTAAGAAGACTTTAAAAATACAAGGCGTGTTGATTAATTTTGATCTTGATTTGCCAGGACAAATCAAGATCAAAATTAAACTACTCTCATCGAAAATGAAGAATTTACTTATTTTAAGTTTTGTTACTATATTGTATTTATGTGGTAGCTACAATAATAAAGGTCATTTTGTGATAGAAGATTTGAGTCAAACACATATTTTATTTTAATTATTATTAAACGTAGATAAACATCTCAACATAAAATATAAATTTTACAACGACAAAATGCACCATAAAATTCAGCAGTTTCAAAGTATAGCTTACGCACCTACATTTTGTATATAATGCCTAATCACATTAAATGTTATTACTTAGACTTAACATAAATTATAAGATCATTGGAAAATATTACACTTTTAATTTCTTTTAAATATTGATTGTAATGTTGAAATTAATATTGCACAGTTTGTCAAGCATTGACAACACGTGGATTGGTCGAGCTTGCTCAGTGGAAAATTCTATAAGCGAGTGCTTTTGATATGCTAGGTTGAAGTCGGATCAAGTTTTAATCTCTTGATGGGTCGAGATGATCAAATTATTGTATTTTATATACTATTAATGCTGTAAGTAGTTATAGAAGCAGTATTATGTTCATGTTAAGATATTATGCTTGTCAGTTGAAAAAATGTAATGGAAAGGATGGAAGACATTTCTATACGTATCAAAAATAATTGTGGCAAATAACCAATACACCACGTATTAGTAACATATTAATTTATTTTCACAAAAAGTATTTTCGGTAAGAAGAAAAATGTCTCTTTTTTATATTCTAAAATTTAAGCACCGCAAAAGGAGCTTTGTTTTCCGGGATTAGGTAGATGTGTCGATGTGTCCATAAATTTTAGGAGAATTTTCATATCAAAATGATTTGTTTTATAGCAAACTTCTATATAATATCTTATATATATAATATCTATATTCTTTCTATCTTAATGCTAAATGTATATATATCTCTATATTTCTTTATTATTCATTCTGTTTTGATGACTTTTGAGGCATACGGAATATTAGGTTTATAATTTTTTTTATTAACAAATCCTTGTTCAAATGCATTTCTCTTGTGTTATTTTATGAAGTAATTTGTGCTTTATACGCTAGATCGTTTGCATCTTGGGCATAACTGGCAGACCTAGCGTAAGGGTATGATGCAGCTGACGCAGTTGGTGATGACCATTGCTGTGGCGTCGACTGGAAGCTGGCGATCTGTAATGAATTAGAACGAAGGTTTTTTTTTTAAACTACCTATAAACGAATTAAACATAGAAGTAGAAATTCTTCAAAGTCGTTTAAATAGTTCAAAAAATGCAAAAGAAGATTAATTGATATATTATTGGCAGCGGGGTCTTTCATCTTTGTCCTTAAGGTTGAAAATGTAGCTGAATTTTTATACTTAATAAAGTATAGGTAGGCTACAGCATTCGCTTACCATTAGGTAGACTGTGTGCTCGTTTGTCACCCTTTCACAGTTAGGATATTGAAGACACAAGCTATAGTATAATCATAGAAACTTTAGATATATATCCATATAAAAAAGGCCGGAAAGGTTTTTTCTTAAGAAAAGAGCCTATTCTTTTTTAAAAGGCTGGCAACATGTCTGCAATTCCCCTGGTGTTGCACATGTTCATGGGCGGCGGTAGTCACTTCCCATCAAGTGAGCCGCATGGTTTTTTTATAGAGATAGGGTGACAAACGAGCACACAGTCCACCTGATGGTAAGTGGTTGCTATGGCCTATAGACATCTACATCTATCCTCGTTTGCGAATCAAAATGCAAATGAGTTGTCAGCCTTGAGGAGTAAGATGGAATGCCTCTTTTTCAGTAAAAAGGGTCTCCGGTTCTCTACACTCACCATTCGAAACACAGCAACATTAAGCTGCTATATTACGCTGGTATTCTGTGAAAGCATGGTCCTTCCCCGGACGAGCCGACACATTCGTGCTACAACTATATTATAAATATAGCTGCAGCTTGGCTCTACCACGTACTATATGGTTGTTTGTCCCCTCTATAAAAAATATGAATTTATATTTTCAGAAATATTTTTAAATGTATCATTTATTGGTATATTTTCCTTTCATCAGCCTATAAAGGTCCACTGCTGGACCTTAGCATCTTATGTTGTTGAGAGTATTTGCCATAATAGTGACCAGACGTCTCGCACCTTCGACGGTGCTTCCCGTCATCGGTTTAAACATTTTACGTGTAGTATTAAAGAATTAGTTACACCGCCATCTTTCGGGTGCCATATAACTTTACTGAAATTTACTGAAGTCACCTCTCATGACACCCAAAACACAAAATGGTACGTGGATAATGGTTTATTATGTATAAATGTAACAAATTATCTCTTCTCATTTTTTTATAGAATTAAAGTTAACGACAAAGCACACAGTCCACCTGATGGTAAGCGGATGGTGTGGCCTATAGAGTCCTACCTAATATCCGAATAAAAATGCAGGTACGTTGTCAACCTTGAGGACAAAAATAGTATATTAATTTTTTTTAATTTTTTTTTTATAGGATAAGGGTGACAAACGAGCACACAGTCCATCTGATGGTAAGTGGTTGCTGTGGCCCATAGACATCTGCATCTATCCATAATTTTATTCTACTAATATTGATTTTGTTATTTTATTAATATTGATTTTCTTTTGCATTTTTTTACATTTATCTTTGATTAAGAATCAAAATGCGAGCCACACTGCAGCTATTTTTTGGTTGTACTACGAATGGGTTGGCTCGACCGGGGTATGACCACACCCTCACAGAATACCAGCGAATTTGCATCAGAAGTATTTAATTCGTATATGCACTACTATTTTGTGCATAAAAGTTTAAATTAAAATAATAATAATAATAATATAACAAACAATACAAATTTAGATTAATATAAAAAGTTGAAGTGTTTACCTTGCCACTGATATTATTAAGTCCTCCTCCACTCAGAATCTTATGAAGACCTAGCGCTGCGGCTGCTAAGAACGCCAGCTTGGCCACCACCAATGCTTTTGTGACAAGTAGAGTGAGAGCTCCGAAGAGGAGACCCAGCACGGCGATTACCTTCACTCCTATACCGGTTAGCAGAGGCGTGTATTTCTTGATCTTTCCCCGTGCTAAAATATTTAAATGCTTGTTAATATCTTTATATATAAAAATTACGTGTCACATTGTTTGTTCGCGATGAACTCTTAAACTACTGAACTGATTTCAATGAAATGTTCCACAATGTGTGCAGTTTTGTCCAACTTGAGAGATAGGATAGTTTTTATCCCGATAAGTGACCCTTAATTTTTGTGAAAAAGTGAACAACGTCTGCCTGGTCAGCTAGTATAATTATAAATTATGATAAAACGAAAAAACATATTTCAAATCGCTATAAAGAAATTATTTATTTGATACCCTTAGGGGTAGAGTTTTTTCTCCAATTTATATGGGACCACCATTGAAGTATAACCTATTTAATAAGAAAATAATCATTAAAACCGGTTCTCAATCTGCGAAGATATCATATGAAATTCCTCAAATAATAGTCCAATGTGAAACGTTTTCCCCTATTTTCTACTCTTGGAGGTGGAATTTTTTGTTTAAAATTTAATTGAGGCGAAGCCTATTTAAAAAAAAAATCATTAAAATCGGTGCACAATCTGCGAAGATGTCGCGTAACAAACATACAAATTTTTTTACGTGATAGATCTATGCTGCAGGTCATCATCATTACAGCCCTTCACAAGTCCACTGCTGAACATAGGCCTCCCCCGAAGAATGCCACAAAGCACGGTCCTGAGCCACCTGCATCCATCGACTTCCTGCATGTCTTACCAGGTCGTCACTCCATCTCGTGGGGGGACGCCCTACACTTCGCCTACCGGTACGAGGCCGCCACTCGAGAACCTTTCTTCCCCATCGGTTGTCGGTTCTTCGAGCTATATGGCCGGCCCACTGCCACTTCAGCTTACTAATCCGTTGGGCTATGTCGGTTACTCTGGTTCTACTGCGGATATCCTCATTCCTAAGTTTATCACGCAGAGAAACTCCGAGCATAGCCCTCTCCATAGCTCGCTGAGCGACCTTGAGCTTTCTCATCCGGCCAGCAGTGAAGGACCACGTCTCAGTTCCGTAAGTCATCACTGGCAACACGCACTGGTTGTACAATTTCGTTTTAAGGTTTTGAGGTATGTCTGACGAGAAGATGTGTCGTAGCTTCCCGAACACTGCCGAGCCGAGTTGAATCCGTCGATTGACCTCTCGGTCGAAGTTGGACTTACCTAGTCGGACTATTTGTCCCAGGTAAACATACTCGGCAACAACTTCGAGCTTAGTGTTCCCAACAACTACCGGCATAGGTGTGACATGGACATTAAACATGATCTTTGTTTTGTCCATGTTCATCTTAAGACCTATCCGTTGGGAAACACTATTGAGGTCATTGAGCATAGTGCTTAGGTCCTCCAGCGATTCTGCCATAAGGACTATATCGTCGGCAAATCGAAGGTGAGTGATGTACTCGCCATTGATGTTGATACCGTATCCTTTCCAGTCCAGAAGCTTGAAAACGTCTTCCAATGCAGCGGTGAAGAGTTTCGGGGATATGACGTCACCCTGTCTTACACCTCTCTGCAATTGGATAGGTTTCGTACTCTGGTTCTGTACTCGGATAGTCACGTAGCCCTACTGTACAAGCACTTCAACACTTCGATATACCGACAGTCAACTTGGCACCGTTGAAGGGACTGCAGCACCGCCCAAATTTCGACGGAATCAAAGGCTTTCTCATAGTCCACATACGCCAGACATAGTGGCAAATTGTACTCTTCGAACTTCTGTACAATTTGCCGAAGGGTATGTATGTGGTCTATGGTGCTAAAACCCTTTCGGAAACCGGCTTGTTCGGGAGGCTGGAAGTCGTCAAGTCTGCGCGCGAGACGATTCGTAATGACTCTCGAAAACAGCACGTAGACGCGGCACAGAAGGGAAATCGGTCTGTAGTTCTTCAAGAGAGCGTTGTCACCTTTCTTGAAGAACAAGACCACCGCACTTCTGCTCCACGCCTCCGGTGTAATGCCACCATGGAGGACGGAATTAAAGAGCTTCTGAAGGACTTCAAGTACCGGTTTTCCACCCGCTTTCATAAGATCCACTGTAATTCCATCCTCGCCTGGGGCCTTACCGTTTTTAAGGTGCTGGAGAGCCATTCTAATCTCGCTCAGACTGACGTCCGGGATATCTTCGGAATAGTGTCGGATGAGACTCGCTCTTTGATCGTTACTCACACTTGCGTGTGGCTCCAACGATGACGTGTACAACTGCCCATAGAACCTCTCAATCTCACTCAAAATCTCAGGTGTCCCGGAAACGATGCTGCCACATTCTGTCTTCAGCTTTGACAGTTGGCTCTTTCTGGCAGACGGATCTCTGGCAAAGACTTTGGAGCCTTGGTTCCGCTCGATCGCTTCTTCAATACGAGCTGTATTGAAGTTGCGTAAGTCCCGCCGCATGCATTTGGAGATCTGTCTGTTCAGATGCCTGTATGCTGTCAAGTCTGTTGAAGAATGTAGCTTCATCTCCCGTCTAACAGCCATGAGATTAAGAGTGTGATCGGAGAGTTTTTGTGTTCTTCTGCGGCGGGTCTTGCAGAACTTAGCTCCGACCGCATGGACAGTTTCCATGAGCTTGTCATTCATATCGTCCACTTCATTGCAGTTTTCTAGGCACTGAATACGGTTTTGTAACTCGAGCTGAAAGGTTTCGGGACTTTGGAACAAAGCACGAGGGGGACGGAGGGTTGACTTCATTAGACGAGACCTCTCCAACTTAACGTTTAGGTTCAGTGTGCTTCTAACCATTCGGTGATCGCTACTAGTTTTTACCCTCGCGATCACGGAGACATCACTGAACAGTTGTCGTCTGGTCGTCATAATCAAGTCAATCTCATTTTTTGTCGAACCGTCGGGGCTCGACCAGGTCCAATTCCTGTGGGGCCGCTTCTGGAAGAAAGAGTTCATCATAAAGAGTCCCTCTTTCTCCATGAAGTCGGCCAGCTGCTGACCCCTTGAGTTCCGTTGCCCTATTCCAAATTACCCTACTTTCAGCTCACCGTTCTCTCTTGTGCCTAGTTTTGCGTTGAAGTCTCCCATTAACACCGTATATTGGGTTTTAGAGGAATGCATGGCTCTAGAGATATCCTCATACATTTCCTCCACCTTCTCATCGGGGTGTGCCGAGGTTGGTGCGTAAACCTGTATGACCTTCAGCAAATACCGTTTGGTGATTCTGAGTATAAGGTACGTCGTCGACACACTCCCGATCTTTACAACGTTGTTAACGAGAGACTTGTGGACGATAAATCCGACACCTCCTTGGGACAGATGGTCGCCCTCCCAGTGATAGAGCAAGTTGCCGGATTCGAGGATTACCGTGTCCTCCCCCTCTCTTCGGAATTCGCCTCTCTTCGCCGTTACCATGGTCGCCACCGTAGCCAGGAATAGCGGGGCCGCCGTTGGGGACTTGGGGCCGTTTCTTTGTTACTGTCATTCATAGGGGGGTATTTGCCATAGTTACCACGCTTGGCGAGCGGGTTGGCAACCGCAGTTTTTTTATTGTTAGGTTGTTGTTATCAAGAAGATGCTGCTGCCCATCTCCTGCCTGTTTCCCTTTGTCGCCTTTTACGACACCCACGGGAGGATGTTGTGGTAGGTAGTAGTAGGTAGGTAGTGGATGTTCTTGACCGCCACTACACGGCTAAGCTGCAGGTATATTCGTAGTATAGTTGTAGCACGAATGGGTCGGCTCGACCGGGAAGGACCACGCTCTTACAGAATACCAGCGTAAAATGGCAGCTTGACACTGCTGTGTTTCGTATGGTGAGTGTAGAGAACCGGATACCCTTTTTACTGGAAAAGAGGCATCCCATCTTAGTCCCCACGGATGACGGCGCATCTGCATTTTGATTATTTATTGAGGATAGCTGCAGATGTCTATGGGTCACAGCAACCACTTACCATCAGGTGGACTGTGTGCACGTTTGTCATGCTATCCTATAAAAAAAACATACACTCGAATTGAGAACCTCCTCCTTTAACGTTTAGTACAGATAAAAGTGAATATACCAGCGTCGAGGGCTTAAGTTTCATTACCGTTGCCGCTGCAGCCCATCAATAGACCACTGATGACTATGGTCCTCCCCATTGATTGCCTAATAAGGGGGATATTTGTGATAGTTGCTACGTTTGGCAGTAGCTTTTTTAATTCATAATTGGTAGGAAGACGCTGCTGCCCATCTCCTGGTAGTTTCCCTCTGTCGTCTCTTAAGACACACTCGGGACCTTATGGGGTAGAAAATATTCATACAAGTCACTACATGGTCATTTGTAGTGGCGTTGTAAGAATAATTAAGTCTCATTGGTTTATTGTATAAAAATAATGTCGTCCAGACCGAATTTCGGCGTCCAGTCACGGCGGCCAGTCCTATTAGAAGCGAGCCATCTGCGTAGGGCAGGGTTATAGTACACGAATGTATGCGCAAGGAAGAAGAAGAAACTCCATCAAAAAAAGAGCTTACACCTTTCTAAAAGGCCGGCAATGCATCTGCAATTCCCCTGGTGTTGCGGTTGTTCTTGTGCGGCGGTAGTCACTTACCATCACGTGAGCCGCATGCTCGTTTGCCCCCTCTTCTATATAAAAAAAAGTGGTGCACTCTCTATTCCATCTATCTCGTAGTTCGACACGATTGGAGGGAGACAAGGAGCTGGACCAACGGCTTAACATGCTTTCGGAGGTCCGAGGGTGAAACACTGCCAACTTCCTAACTTTGGAATGCTACTGAGCATTAAAGTGTTCGGTATAAAGTCGAGTTATTTTTTTCTATTATAATCCAGTGTTTGACAACCTTCCAACCTGATTGACAGTGGTGAAGCAGCCGAAGATGGTATAGTGCAATAACTTAAAGAAAAGCCTATTCACCCCTGCCTTGAAAACGTACACATTATTATCGAATGGAAAGACAAATGCTGGCACATTACTCCAATCCTTTGCTGTACAAACGAGGAAGCAAGTTCTGCTTGTTTATTGAAATATTTCAAATGAGTGAAATAACATCATCATCATTACAGTCCTTCACAAGTCCACTCTTAAACATAGGTCTCCCTCAAGGAATCCCAAAGGAATGCACCCAAAGGAATGCTACTAGTTTCTCGCCAATTCTGCCGATGTGCTCTGACCTTGCCTTGGTAATGACTCTTTTGAAGGACTTGGAGGTAGAGTTGTACGTCTTTTTAAGAGCGCTGGTGCTTACATTTCGAGACGTTAAGGCATCGGCCCACGCCCGGTAGCACTCCTGCTTATAGCGTGATGCTATTTTACAGCAGCGATCAAACCATGCAGATCTGCGGATCTGCCTCCGATGGGCACCACAGAAGATGGAATAAAAAGTTCCATACCCTTAAGCACAGAAGCGACAGAATCAGCAACAACGTTAGGATCGTCCGTCGAAAAGCAAACCAACTCCCAGGGGTAGAATGCAAATAATACCACATCCTATCCCAATCAGCCGACCTATAGTGCAGCCACGATGTTAGCGTGAGTAGCACCACACTCCGGACTAGACAATGGTCCAAGTAGTAACCAAGAGGGCCATCAACGGAAACCTGATATCCGTCCAGATCAGCAGTAGGTCCAACAGGGAAGGTGCATGATCCTCCACATCTGGAATCCGCGTAGGCGAAGTCACTAGTTGTGTCAGACCATATGCCAAGGCAAAGTCATAAACAGTTCTCCACGCATGATCGGTTAAACGTGAACCGAGCCATTCGGCGTGGTGGGCGTTGAAACTGCCAAGGATTCGAATACAAAATTAAAATACATAAAATTGTGAAGTAAATTCGATTCAAATAGGGAAGTATAAAGATCACTTACTAGAAATTATTCTATGCGAACGAAGTCGCGGGCACAGCTAGTTTAAAATATGAAAAGTTTCAACAATGCCAGACGTTTGGTAACATGGTACAGCACGATAACGGTTTACCGCGCACGTACGTACGCACGCCGCGATCACAGTGGACTCGACTACGTAACCTTGACCGAGCGTTACGTCCGCTCACGTAACAGGCCAACGAACTTACCCGGTAACTTTCTTTTCATCGGACGCCATTTTAATGTTGTGCTTGTGCTCTCGTATGTTCATTGATGCGATAGCAGTGAATTTTAGGTACTTACTCATAATTTATTTGGGGTTGTAGTTCCTTTATTACTCTAGAAGATATATTATACCATTATATATATATATATATATATATATATAGCTTTGATATATGATATTTATTATATTTGCGTTTCATTTGATATTCAAACACGGAATGAAAATGTTTTCATTTAAAAGTCTTCCAAAAAATTTTCAAAGTTTATCGAAATAAAATTTTCATGTGTTTATATATTTAAACAAAATAATACTAACTTACCTTCTTCAAAAGTTCTGGCAGCCTCCCGTAGCTCACCCGGTTCGAATTTGACGTTCAGTTTTTCTTCTCCTTTAGCGTCCCTTGACAAAACAAATAAAGTTTTATTACTTTACTCATATCGTCCAAGTCTTCGTCCAAATCCAAGTCTTGGTTATGTATTCGAATTTCGAAATCACATCAATAAATTTTTATTAAAATATTTTGTGTTAATATTAGAAAATGTCCCTATTCACGCTATTTTCAAATATAGTACCAAGGTCTATATATTGATTAATTTATTTTAGAAGCGTCAGTTAAAAAGATACAAAAAATTTTGCCCTTAAAGGATTCTAAAACTGGAAAAAGAATACTAAGGCGATCAAATTGTCCAAAAAAATTTTAAATGACATTGTTACGTCATGAACTGATGCATAAAGAAATACCAATAAAAAATACATGCTTGAGTGTCGTGGAACACTCGGTTGGAACGAAGTTCCTTTTGAAGTATATTATTATTGTTAAACGTATTATATTATTGATTAACAAATACAAATAAATGAATTACTAGCGTCTATTAAAATGAAGTGTCATTTAAAATAATATTTCTTTCATGGCAAGAAACGTGCGAGGGAGATGGATATTATTCCATCTCGCTTCCTTATAGCCGCCAAGGCCGTCTACACTACGTCAGAAGGGGTCGTGACGGAAAAATCTTACACTTTTTCTCGCCTAGCCCCCATCCGCCAAATTCGTACCGTCCAATAAGGAACTTCGTTTCAAAAAACCTTTTTTTCTCCAATTTCTGTACATCTATAACAGTGTAAAAATTATAGTGTTTCTGTACTTCAGCATGAAAAACTGGTAATTGTCGTAATATTAAAAAACTACTAATGAAAGCTTCATACAAACTTAATTAAAAAAAAATCAAAAAGCTATTATTTTTAATAACTATTGGAATTTTAACGTACACGATTAAGTAGTGATAATACTTTACTAAATTTATGTAAAAAGATCACACCCCTAAAATAACTTTAATTTCTTCGTGTGGATAAAAATCAAGGACATTGTTTCCATTTAAATTTATAATAATTATCTTTTTCAGTTACGGAGGAGTGACACTGTTCTGTCCCACTTTATAAATCTGTATATACGGTATATTCTCTTCCACCTGTTCATCCATCCATTACAGCTTACAGAAGTCCACTGCTGCACATAAGCCTCTCCCATAGATTATCTCATTTTATTTATTTATTTATTCTATATTGCATTCCTTAATCTAAGAGAATACAAAGGGCGGACTTGATGCCTTGATTGACTCATTTTTTACCAGTCAACCCATGGAGTGGTGAGAATTTGAAGTAGGTGTAGCAATATAGAATAAAAACAACATAAAAATGATAATTAATTACGTTATATCTACATTTTACTAATATATACATACATAAACATACATATATACATATAAAATATATAAATAACTATGAATGTATACGTCTAACAATATGAAAGACATGGATAATTCATGTAAGAAGCGTTGTCTTAAGATGATTACGCATCAACTTTTTAAAAGCAATTTTCATAGGCAGGAATTTACCATAGTTGCCACTTGGCAGGCGTGTCGGCGACCGCAGTTTTCTATTATATTGAGTTGTGATCAGGAAGATACTGCTGCCCATCTTCTGATTTAGTTTCACCAACACCAACGGGATAATATGGGGCAGTAGATATTCTTACACCGTCACTACACGGTGTTAGTGTTGTATTCGTTGTATGTCAAAGAAGACAATCGTTTTTGGGCCCATTAGAAATTGTAACGTAACTTAATATTCTTACACAACAAAAGATACAAACGTATTATATCGGCCTAAAGATTTTACGAAGATCGAACCGGAAATCTGGAACAAAAGTGGTTTTGATATTCGTGAATTCGTGTTCTGGTTGTAACATGAAGAAAAAAATGCGTGTAACGAAGAACGAACTACTAAAAGGATTTCCCAATCAAAAAATCAATTTTAAAGTACCTATAAATGCTGGATGTACCTACAACTTTCTTTTTACTATTAATTATTGACCAGTGCACTATTTTAATTTATAATACCGATGAAAACTACTAGAAATTTGCTTTTAGTTTGTTTTTAGGTTATTGTGATTGTGATATCCATATTTTAATTGTTAATTTCTTAGTATTCCCATTTGATACTGTAAAACTAATATTACTTTTGTAACCTATATATAAGTAATGAATCAGCAAAACACAGTAGGTGTGATGATTTAAAACAGGTTTCAATATCGTTGACAAATATAAGAAATAGCAACGGCCCCATCAAGGACCCCTGTGGGCCACCACTCGGTACTGACACCTAACCTGATATGTAATTGTTAACAACTACAGCCTGCGAGCGATTGTCGATATAAGAGGAGAACCACCGCAGTAGGTCTCCACAGATACCAACATACTGAAGCTTTTTAAAAGCAAATTATGTTCATGTTATGACATACACTTCATTAAGTTAGGCCACAATTTATGGTGGGCCCATTCTCCATACAAAAAGATATCTTCCTTTTTAAAACAATAAAATATTTAAGAAAAAAAAAAGTAGTAATTTTGATATTTTCAATTAGAATAAAGACCCTGCTTTATACCATTATCTAGGACGATCTAAAACGGTCAATTCTATTCACTATAGGTTAGAGAAAGTGAATGCGATTGTGTGTTAATTTAATCCTTCCACTGTGTGTAATTTATGAATATAAAATACCTGTGTTTAAAAGCTTTGTCGAATTGATACTTCGTTAAAAAGAACCCCGAGTTTAACCTAGATCATGATGGTATTTCTCACAGATAGTTTTTTGAATATTTACATTTTCATAATTTTACGAATTATCGTTTCCGTTATAGCCTATTAAATTCCACTGCTGAATATATGTCTAACCCTTAGATTGCCTCGGGTTCAAAAACGCAGTTTTTTATAATTTCGAGTCGTTATTAGGAAGACGCTGCTGCCCATCACCTGATTTATTTCCCCTCTAATATGGGGGTAGTGGATGTTTTTTAACCGCCACTACAAGGTATACGAATAACTTACAACATAATTCTTTGCGTCTCATACTGAATTTATTAAGATGAATTGAATTGTCAAAATAAATATGTATTTTTGAAGCCAGTGAATAAAATATTTCACAGTGCGATGAATTGGTTCAGGTTTACCTTAATCCAATTCACTGAATACCAAATACCGAAGGGTAACCAACGGGACCCTAGTACTAAGCCTCCGCTGTTCGTCCGTCCGTCTGTCAGCGAGCTGTATCTTATGATTCGTAATAGGTAGACAGTTGAAATTTTCACAGAATGTGTATTTCTATTGCCGCTATAAAAACAAATAAAAATAATAATAATAAATACAAAATGATAATAATTTCTAATAGGGGAGCTCCCTATAATTTTGTATTGGGAAAAACTTTTCAGATACCCCAATACAAAATGATAGGGAGCTCCCCCACTAGATGCGTGCGTGATGGTACGTAACCCTTCATGCGCGTGTCAGACTCGCAATTGGCCGGCTCGCAATTTTTTAAATTATCCCACTTTATAAAAAAAACAATAAAGCAGTTATTGTAATGTTTCTGAATGATTTAAAAAATCACACCGATATTGTACTCGAAATAGATACAAGCTAGCGCTGTCTCTCTATAGAACTGACATAGGAAAGAAAAGCATTAAGTTTGAGGGAGTGCAACTCTACAACAAGCTTCCTAATAATGTGAAAGAATGTAGCACTATTGCATTATTCAAAAGACACCTGGTAAATTACTTATCCTAATTTCTAGTTTTTTTTGGTCCGAAGTTTATTTATACTTGTTAATTGTTACGTATTTACTATTTCTTACTGTTAACAGTAAGATGAACATGGACAAAACAAAGATCATGTTTAATGTCCATGTCACACCTATGCCGGTAGTTGTTGGGAACACTAAGCTCGAAGTTGTTGACGAGTATGTTTACCTGGGACAAATAGTCCGACTAGGTAAGTCCAACTTCGACCGAGAGGTCAATCGACGGATTCAACTCGGTTGGGCAGCGTTCGGGAAATTACGGCACATCTTCTCGTCAGGTATACCTCAAAACTTGAAAACGAGACTGTACACCCAGTGCGTGTTGCCAGTGATGACATACGGAACTGAGACGTGGTCCTTCACTGCTGGCCGGATGAGGAAGCTCAAGGTCGCTCAGCGAGCTATGGAGAGGGCTATGCTCGGAGTTTCTCTGCGTGATAAACTCAGAAATGAGGATATCCGCAGTAGAACCAGAGTGACCGACATAGCCCAACGGATTAGTAAGCTGAAGTGGCAATGGGCCGGCCATATAGCTCGAAGAACCGACAACCGATGGGGAAGAAAGGTTCTCGAGTGGCAGCCTCGTACCGGCAGGCGAAGTGTAGGGCGTCCCCCCACTAGATGGAGTGACGACCTGGTAAGATGTGCAGGAAGTCGATGGATGCAGGTGGCCCAGGACCGTGCTTTGTGGCATTCTTTGGGGGAGGCCTATGTTCAGCAGTGGACTTGTGAAGGGCTGTAATGATGATGACTGTTAACAGGAAATGTGGGTGGTCTTTTCTTCATGAAAACGCTCTCGCCAGTTTTCTTTCTAGTTTATGACCTCGTCTATGTCCCTATGTTTTTCTTTTTTGATGATAAATTATCTTTATAAGCTCAAACTTGCCTATTTAGACCTATCAACAGAGGCCTAGTGTTCAAACTTGATAACTTATACTGAAAAAATAAAAACATAGTGACGCAGTGTATGTATGTATATCCTTCGTATTCAGTTTATCAAATATTTTTGAAATTGGTCCTATATTGGAGGAGGAAATGGTAGAGAGCTAAACCTCAAATATTGCCTTCTTACTTAGGCTATTCAGTCGAATCTGCAGTTGTCCTTAACGGACGCCGAGCGCTCGCAGAGCGACAGCGATAGTTTTTTTCAAACACCTAATTTTCAAAAGTCTCTCGGCCCGCATTTTCTCTTAAGGTAATTGTATATTGTTCTAATGTGGTAAATAAATGTCTTTAACCTGAACATTTCATGTATATGTCGACCTTTCTCGCGATGCAAAGTGGAAAATTATTATCCGTGTTTTTGGCTTACAAAACAAATTATACTAAGCAATTTAACACGGCGTGAAGCGTGACACTTTATAATATGCGTTAAGAAAATATGTGTGATAATTTAGGAGCATTGTCTTGTTATTTTCACTTTACAATTACATTTGTAAGTATTTTTCCGAAAGTTGTCCTTTTAACGTTTACAATTGTGTTTAATAATATTTAAAAAAATAAGGGCGGTTATACACGCGTGAAAAATTCCGTTACAGCTTATTAAAGTCCACTGCTGAACATAGGCCTCACCCACAGATTGCCTCATAGAGGATATTTTGTCACAGTTGTAATGTTACTGTTGATTTAATACTCGTAATTTCACCTCTCAGTGGGTCATGTGCTCCTGGTAGATTATCTTCTATACATCCATCCATTACAGCCTATTAAATTCCACTGCTGAACATAGGCCTCCCCATAGATTGCCTCATTGGGGGGATATTTACCATAGTTGCCACGGTTGTCAAAACCGCAGTGTTTTTTTTTTTGGTTGATATTAGGAAGCCGCTGCTGCTCATCTACTGTTTTTTTCTCCTCTGTCGCCTCTTACGACACCCACGGTATGATATGGGGTATTCTTACACAGGTATTAAATGGTAATTTTCTTCTTAAACATACTTTTAGTTTAATTACATACACATATTAAAAATAAGAAATCATCTATTTCTGCTAAGAATTTATAAATTAATAATTGTAATTGTAAAAGTACATTAATTGTAAATTTTAGGCATGAAAATTAAAAAAAGTTTTATTTAATTTAATAAAGGATATACTATTTTTCTTATTTTCACAAATTTAAAGGCATTTGAACAAATTGCTAACTATTGGTGTTTAATTGGTATGTGAAAATGTTTCAAAGATTTTTACTTTCGTGCGGTATGTATGTACGTACGTACGTTTGATTTTTAAATAATATTTAATTGATTTCGTAAATTTAAATTTAATAAAAAATTACATTACATTTTATACAATACTGCTGGTACCCGGTGCGTTGCAGCCGCAGAAGAAATAATTATTGTGGAAATATCGTTTTAAATTTGGAAAAGTTATATTGTTTACTTAGGAATGATAATACATATATAAAATTGAATTATAAAACTTTTAAATAAATTAGTCAGCACGATACGCGCGCCACATAGTGTAAGTTAATTGTACTTTGCCTATAACCTTCGCACAAGTGCATGCAATAAGTTGACAAAGTTTTACCGCAATCTGATGAACGGTACGGTATAGCCGCGCATAAAATACGAACAAACAAATATTAACTTTTACATAATAGATTTTTTTATTATAGTTTATGATATTGTATATAATAAAATATGGTATCTAACAAATTAACTTAACTAAATATTATATGTTGAAGTTTATAGTAACGAAAAAAAAAATCATATGAATCAGTAGTAATATTTCATAAATTTATAAATATTTTTATTTGACAAAAGAATAAAAAACTTACCTTTCAATGGCTACACCAGAAAACAACTCTATCTTTCCATCGTCGTCCGTACCAGCACCAGGAGCAGCACTGCAGGCTACCACGGCGATGAAAAGAATCGTACACACCACTCTCATATTTATACAAATGTTACTAATAACGCAGTTACTTGGGTCCTTCCTGGTCTGTTGTCGAGGATAAAGTGAGCCCGACCCGGGATACCCACGCTTATATATAGAATGAGGGAAGACGAACACTTCGAGGCTCAGGTCCAATGGGTTAGGTTCCGCAAAGAATATTGCTTTCACAGTTTTGATACTTGAACTGTTTGATTTATATTATTCTAATACATTATTTAGTTTATTTATTGCATAAATCTTTTAATAATTGTATTAAATGCAGTTGTTACAGTATTTTAAAAATAATTCATTTTATTTCATTTTCATAAACTAAATAAGCATATTATATAAGAATTTATAAGGATATAAAATTATTTAGAAACTCTCCTTTTTGGGTTGTTTTGATAAATAATTAATTTTGGATAAACAACATTTACAAATTATATAAAAATTTATTTTAGTTACCAATAATTAGATGCTTTAGTGAATATTGTAAGTAGCTTTATATACATTTGTGTCCTTTAAAATTAACTTCATAACAGAGATTTTCTTCTTAAGAGCACGCTAAGTAAGATTATATAAAACGCTAAGATTATATAAAATTCGAAAAATTTTAATCGAATCAAAATTAATTATTATATTAATCGAATTATTTTAATTTCTTTTACAGAAATAAAAAATGTTATACATTAGATAGACAGAAAATATAATGCTTAATATGATGTATTTAAAAATAATAATAATAAAGACCTCCAGACCGAATTGCGGTAACCGCGGTCAGCCTCATTGGAGACTAGCCATCGGCGCAGGACAGGATTATAGTGCCCAAGTGTATGCGCAAGCACAGGTGCACTCTCTATTCCCTCACTCTCATAATCCGGTTGGACGGTAAACCGATACGACCGGAGAGAGATCAGACACAGGACCAACGACTTTACGTGCTTTCCGAGGCACGGGGGTGAGACACCGCCCACTTCCTGACTCCGGGCAGCCACTGAGAATTTTCCGATGATGAAAAGCTGATGAAAAACTCAATGATTGATTTTTGGCTCGACCGGGATTTGAACTCGGAACCTCATGATCAGCACTCGCACTACTACTAAACCAAGGGGTCAGACTATGTATTAAGTAATGTATCTTTTAAATTACTATCGTACATCACCTCTGTTTTAAAAGTATCAAGATTGTTAGGTCTTTAAGCGTTCATTCATGTTATATTTCTTACGCACTCACGTGCTACACAATAAAGAGGCGTAACATTTGAATTGAATCTTACTAATCTCTAAAATATCTAATCTACATCCGATGCTTCGGCAGAAAGGAGTCGTTTGAAATCGGTATTATATGCCGATGTTTACCAACAAATTGGAATGAAATCGGTAGAACCACACTGCAGCTACATTATGGTTGTAGCACGAATGGGTCGGCTCGACCGGTAAAGAACCACGCTCTCCCAGAATACCAGCGAAAAGAAGCAGCTTAATGCATATAACCACTGCCTTACTGTACTTCTAAATATAGCCTTCCTCATAGATTGCCTCATAGGGAGGATATTTACCATAGTTGTTACTGATATCTTACACCGCCAATACACAGTAATGCCACCACTACACGGGAAGGACCACGCTCGACCAGAATACCAGCGTGAAATAGCAGCTTAATGTATCGTGTAGTGAGTGTAAAGAAACGGAGACCCTTTTTACAGGTAACAAGGCATTCAATCTTGGTTCTCAGGGACGTAATTGAGGATAGATGTGATAGAGAAGATAGATAAGGATAGATGTTTTGGGCTTCAGCATCCACTAACCATCTTGTACTTGTATACCATCTTGTCTTGGACTTGTGTGCTCATTCACCCTTTTTTATGAAAAACATCTACCTACAGTAGGAAGGGCGCTTGTGTAGTAGAGGACTTTGAATAATAATGACAAGATATATTTTAATTTTTTTTTAGAATAAGGATGACAAATAAGCACACAGTTGATCTGATGATAAGTGGATGCTGTAGCCCATAGACATCTACATTTATCCTCGATTAAGAATCAAAATGCACCGTCACTGCTGAGGACTAAGATGAAATGCTTCGTTTCCTGTAAAAAAGGGGCTTCGGTTCTTTACACTCACCATACGAGACGCTGGCATACTATGAAAGAGTGGTCCTTCCGCGGTCGAGCCGACCAATTCGTGCTACAACTATACCAGTAATATAGTTGTAGCATGGCTCTACCACGTATATGTCTGATAAGCAAACTATCGATTTTGTTTCTAAATTTTCTTTAAGTTATAAATAGGTTAAATATATGATAAAAATACAAAATTGTTGAATGCTTTTGTTTTACGATCGAGTGAAATTCCCTTTGTAAAACTTGGCAAACGTCATGTAATTCATGCATTCTGTGCCATTGAGCAAATTGTACTTTATTGAACTTTCACTAGGACGAATTTTACGTAAATAAATGTCGTAACTTAAAAGTAAATTACTCGTGTTATCTTTCAATATTTTTTTTTATAGGAGTAGAGTAACAAGCGGGCACACAGTCCACCTGATGGTAAGCGGGTGCTGTGGCCCATAGATATCTACATCTATCCTCGAATAAGAATCAAAATGAAAATGTTTTGTACCCGCTTCCAGCAGAAAGGGTCTCCGGTTCTCTGTGTTATCATACATAACACAGCAGAATTAAGCTACTATTCTGTAAAAGCATTGTCGTTTCCCAGTCGAGCTAACATATTCTTGCTGCAACTATAATATATGTGCAATGTGGCTCTATTATGTATAAAATTATTGCTCAAAATTTTTGCTTAAATATATTATATTGTAGGAAGCAAATAATAAGACATTTCTTCTTTCATTTTATTTTTATAAGCCTATTACGTTAGTTTACATTTATTGTTTTTATATCATCACCTATCGGGTAACGTAAAAAAAGTGGTAAAATAAAACATTTTCAACAACCGACTTCAACGAAACAAATTTTTACGGATTTTATCGCGTTTGATTTAACTTTTTAATTCCCGACGTTTCGGGTGTTTTACAGCACTGTGACGTCCCGATGTCATAGTTACTTAGATGTAAAAATTAATATTCAAAAACTGAAGGTAGCTGTGCTATGACATCGGGACGTCAAACACCTCAGTCCCCCCGTGACCATGGGTGCTGTAAAACACTCTAAACGTCAGGAATTGAAAAGTAAAATTAAACGCGATAAAATCCGTAAAAAAATTAGTTTCATTTAATGTGTAGTCTTCGCGTAAATATAATCAAATCAAATCAAATCAAATCGTTTATTGCTTCTATAATGTACAGTACATTAGCAGTTACAGTGACCATTATAGACCCTGTCGGGCGTTGCAATATACAAGAAATATACAATAAAATAATTGAATGGACTTATAACTATTTAACATCATTATATTATATTTGGCTATTTTGAAAATAAAATTTTATTTAATACTTAGTAATTTACTGGTTAGTAATTCTATCAAAAAATTCAGTGAGCGTGTAAAAGCATTTGGAAATAAGATAATCATGAAGTTTTTTATTGAATGAACTTAATTTAACTTCAGATTTTACATCTATGGGTAGTTTATTGAATATTTTAATTGCCATGTAATATGGACTACAATTGAGCATTTTGGTTCTAGATGGGGGTAAATATAACCTATGTTTATGCCTAGTATTTACATTGTGTGTTTCTTTTATCTGGGTGAAGAAGTGTTTATTTTTAAATACGAAGTTACTTATATCTTTTATGTAAATAGAAATTAAGGTTAATAATTTAAATTTAATGAAGTAGGGTCGACAGCTATGTCTGTTATCAATTCTGGCAAGTATCCTAACACATTTTTTTTGTTTGAACAATTCATCTGCATTAACACTATTACCCCAAAGGATAATGCCATATTTAAGCCATGAAAAGGCATACGCGTAATATGTGGACAGTGCAGTTTCTAAATTTGTGCTATGATTAATTTGATAAAGCGTATATGTAAATTTAGAGAGCTTGCATTTAATTTTTTCAATATGCGACTTCCAGTTTAAATGTGTATCTACATTAAGTCCAAGCAAGTTATACGAGTCTATCTCTTCTATTAGGGTATTTTGTAATTGAAAATTAATTTTTAGGGGTGGTTTATTATATGAACGAAATTGTAAAATTTTTGTCTTTTTAAGGTTTATTTCTAGATTATGGCTATCAAGCCAATGTGTGACATTATGAAGTGTATCATAGATAAGGGTTTCAGAGCTAATGTTGTCGTTACTTTTTATAAGTATTGATAAGTCATCTGCAAATAATACTGGCAGTGTTGATTCTATAAGAAATCAATAACCGATTTCAACTTACATTATTAAGGATAACTCAAAAACTACTGGTTAGACCTTGGTTAAATTTGGGACCACATGAGAAGCACCAGCTTTTAAATAAAATAAGAATAATTGAGAAAAGAGTTATGAGGTAACACACATAAAACAAACATGCAGTTAAATTGAGTACCTCCTCCTTTTTGAAGTCGGTTGAAAAAGCAGAAAGAAAGAAACTATTTTGACCTACTTTATGTTAAATTCGTATAAATTACAAACTGGTAATTTTTTTATACTCATTATAAGCCAATACTTGACCACCCCATGTGATGGTAAATGGTGATGTAGCCTAAGATGGTAAATCGCACTATCTTAGCGTAACAAGATAAGGAGTAACATAATAACATGTATATAACATATAGTTAAGCAGTTTTGTGTAAAAACTATAATTAAAAAAAAAAAAAACTAAAACTAGTAACGTAATTATCATACAGTCCTACTCCCCGCGGTATCGTGCCAAGAACGCTGGCTGCGTTTCCCCGCTGAATGGTCATACTTAGCCTTTGAGCGAGAGTGGAACCAGCCGCGGATGGAGTTCCTATAGAAACTTCATTGCACGTGGACTCCACGGACCCATACCCATTTTGTGTTGTCAAAAAGGATCCCGCCTCTGTTATTATTAAGACCTTTCTATCATTTTTCATAGTCATATTTA